GCGAAACGAGGGGGGCAGATGGAGGAAGAAACTGGGCCTGCTAAGTAGATTTAAGAATCGCGTCGGTGTCGTAGAGAAGTCCCTTCAAGCTTGAATAGAACTTGGTACACTGTGGTGAAGACAAGGGCCATTATGTCGGCACGTAAAGCGACGTCAGCCAAAGCTCGAGTGTCCGTTCCTTCTTGCATCTCCGGCTAGATTTCATTCTCTTTTTTCTTTTTTTTTTTTTTTTTTTTTTTTTTTTATGATGTCGTGCTAGCCATACATACAACTGCTACTTCCATCCAGTCACGCCCTTCGTTCTTCACCTATTTTTTTCTTCTTCTTCTTCTTCTTCTTTTTCTTCTTCCTCCTCCTCCTCCTTCTTTTCAAAACTTGTCAACTCGTTCGACTTGTCGACTTGCTCGTAGATACTCGAAGGGCAAGTACGTTGCACGATTTATCGCCGTTCCTACAACCGTAATGTTCCGGAAGAAAATCCGTAATTAAATTTGTCAAGCGTAATTGTTCCCAAGTTGATAGGAAATATCTAATGTTTCCTACTTGCTCGACTTTCTGCGTTCAATTGCCTTTCCAAATTATATTAATTTTTCCTCCAAGTTTCCTTTAGAGTAAAGTGTAATCGAATGCTACTACCCTCCAACTTGCAAATTGTTCTATTTGCTTCTTTCTTCTCCCTTTTCTTTTTCCTTCTTTTTCATAAAAGCTTTCTCGCCGGGAAGACTGCAGAAAGAAAGATCGATCGATCGATCCTATTCGAGAATTCGACGATTTGAAATGTCGAGAAACGTGTCCATCTTGGATTCAAGCTGGATCCTTGAATCCTATTCGTTTGTTTAATTACTTTCGTTCCTTCGTGAGGTCACTCTCCCGGGGGAAGATGAGATTAAATTTAAAACTATTATATAACAGTACAACGTAACTCGAGAACGATGCTGATTAACTCAACAATGGGTTAAAGATTAAAACGGTTTGTAAATTCGTCCAAAGGATGGGTGGAAGCAGGTATCTTCGGGAGTGGATAAATTTTGGGTGGATGGTGTTCGTTATCGGGAATCCTTCGGATTTCATCGGACTAGAGAGATGGTATTGTTGCCATGATAGGTGCGTGCAACGCGTACATTCATCGCCATCCACCCGGTTATCCGCATGCTCTGATTCACTCTGTGCGGCGGTAAGCGATAAATTTCCCCTCTTCCAACCGAGAGAGACAACCAACAAAGAACAAAGAACAAAGTATTCAACAAGTATACAACGTTCGTGCATACCGACCGAGCGTTTAAAGATTCGTTTTCGGCCATTTTAGATTCTCTTCGATCAGATCCCGCCATTTATTATTGTAACACCTCTTTTTCGCAATGGCGGTCGAATAAAGCACGGCTCGAGCTTTTTAACGCGAAATACACGGCGCAATTTCAAGTTTCGGCGCTTTGGGAATTACCTACTTGTTTCCATCTAATCCTTAATTACATTAGTCGTTTCGTAAAAGTTTATACGAATTAATAATAGCCGGGACAGGAGAGGGAGGCCTGTTGTAAAATAAAAGAAAGCGAGACTTTAGAGCGATATTATCAAGGGTAATTCTACCCTCTGGGGAGATAGATTTCCGAAACAAAAGTGGATGGAAAGTAGATGGAATATGGATGACGAATCGATCGAGAGTGAGAATGAAAAAGGGATATCGATCGATCCGATTAACAACTTTGATTATTCCTTCTTTCTTCGAGAAAATTCGAGTAAACAAAAGATAATTTAAACGATGTAAGAGAAGATTGTGCGTATTTATCCGAAAATGATGGATCTAATTAATTTTTTGAAGATTCGCCCAATGACTGATCGTATCTAATACGATTAGGATATTTCAAAGACTGCGCGTCAAGAGAAATTGGAAAATCGGATACTGTGCCGCGATAAAAGATTTCATTTTCTTTTTGATTTCATTCCGGGATGTGGACGCTCGAAATCATTGCGCGTATTTAAAACAATTGCGAATGAAAAAGTTCGTTTAAAAACTCATTTAACGTCAATGCATCGTTAAACTCGATTAAAAGTTTGAACGGTTTAAAATTACCGAATCGGCGTGCGTGAAATCGCGAGATATCTCCAATTTAAAGCGCGTTAAAATTGAAATTAAAACGTTTCGACCACGTCCCATCCCCGATCGATTCTCGATCGTTTCCGACTTTCTTGTATCTCGAAACGCAATCTTCGAGATCCTCCCCCTCCCTGCAATCTTATTTTAACGCGCGATCTTCGCTAAATGAGTCCAGCGAGAATTGCCTCGACGGATAAACGAGATTTACGCTGGAAAGAGAGTTAAATGAGCGCGGAGCATTCACTCGTCGCCGAGGATTTATTTTTATCGGGCAAGGGACGATATTTCATTTCCATCCATCCCTTAACAACTTCGAGTATAATTTTTTTTCAAATTTCGCTCGTTTCAAGTGAATTTTCCTATATACATCTCATCCCCCCCCCCCCCTCTTC